GATTAAGAAAACCCCTCCAGATAATCGTCAGATTATGGAACAGGACGACAAGGGCATCGAGATGAACTTTTTGTATGAAAATCTGACGCGCTCGAGTAAATCCAAATGGCGATTTTTTTGCATCTTCAAGAAGACGCCACGAGCTTGCGTCGTATCTGAATCGTCTAATTATTGAATGGGAGGTTCATTCGGGCCCATTTAACATCCATTGTGAATATCTGACGTGCTCATCATATAACCTTCAAAATCCAATAGGTCAAAATGACGCTCGAGTAAATCCCGATTATGCTAATAAGGTGCTATAAGGGGTCAAAGTTCAGGTCTTCGAAAAACTAAATTCCTTATATTTCAAACAATTATGAACTGATTTTTAAAAAATTTATATCGTTGTAAAGGTGATTAAACCCCCTTGTAAAACCATGTAAATCCAAATTTCTTACTTTGTACAAAAATTAGAATTAAAAAAAGTGACATACTTTTGTTAGAAGTGTCTACAAAAACCGTTGATTTTTAATTTTTTGTTTGCTGATGGCGTCACGCATTTTCTTCCATAAAAAAGTTACTATGTTCGACAATTTGTTTTGTATGGAAGAAAATAATAACGACGATATAACCAAAAATCAATGCGAATTCTTAGCCTATTGAAACTTGTATCTTAATAAGCTACAAAATTACATACCTGAAATTTCTATAAAAATTATGAATACAAAGTTTTTTGCTGTGGCATTTCAAGATGTCGTGCACCAATTTTTTTTACTAATGGTATATATACATTAGACTGCATCACTGCATTGGAATTATAAAATCTATTATATTTTAAGACGTCCACCAAAATATTTCGGAAAAATTTAAAGATTTATACAAAATTTTGGAAATTCAACAAATTTTCAACTTTTTAATCAGAATCTTTACAACATTTTTGGGTATGCAGTTTTCTAGCCCATACAATTTTAGTCTAATAAAGTGCAACAGTTGATAATTGTTTTTTGAAGACTACTTTTGCGGTTTGTTTTTATATAACAAGTGTAATTTACAAAAAATGGCGTGGATTTTTTGAAATTTTGTTGCTAAGAAATTCATGCTTATATGGAAAAAGTGCAAAAATCCGTCATCAAAAAAAATCTCAGAAATTAACGAGATTTTTTAGCCATTTGAAACTTGTACTTCATTAGACGTATTTTCAATACCAATTCGTAAACCAAAAAACTTTATTTTTTTTTAATTCAACGGAATTTTCTCTTTCATTTGGTTCCCATACTGTTACTCTACATTGCACTAATTTTTTAAGTAATTTTTTGAATTAATCATATCTTTAAAATTTCAAAGTCCTTTAAAAAAAATCCTGACGTCAGAGTGAAAAACTAAAAAGGGATAGTTTCGTGAGTATATCGATTCTTTCGTGTGTTCTGAATTTTTTTTTTTGTTTTTGTGGCACAGTGTAAAATAAAAAAAGTTGGTATCACTTTCTGTTTTAAACACCTAGGATATAACTGACCATTATAAAGGACCCTGAATGACGGCAAAGCTCAAAGCTTTACAAATTTGTTGATGTGCCGGTATACATATTTTAAAATGCTTAGAATCAGTGGTTGAAATTATACTGAAGGAGTTAAGAAGTCTTTAGTTTAAAAGTATGATACTAAATGCCTTTCACAATAAACGCCGTAAATTTTCTGGGTTATCAAGCCTTAAGAAGTACAAGATTAATTGTTGTCTTTCACGAATTTCTTTAAATAAATCTTCAACTAAATACTAACTAAATACTGAAGTATATTTACGAATATCACGTTTTATTATATACTTAAATTTAATTTCTTAATTTCAGTAAGTATTTCTTTACTACATTCACCCGAGTTTCGGGGGTTACTACTAGTTTTAATAAATTGTCAGTTTAATTTCTTATAAAATTTACCTTTAGGTTTTTGCATCTAAAGCATACATTTGTTTTCGAGAATCATTGTGAAATAATTGTAGAAACGATTAGCCGATTTGCTGAGCAACCGAGAAGTCTGCTTTTTTANTTTATATATAACTCGATTATGTATGTATGTATGCTACTCCACAGATCGCCCTAACTAAGTCGTTTGGCCTCACCGACCAATTCCGCAAAAAAGCGCAACAAACTTTCCCTTAAATTTCAATCTTTTTTCTCAGAAGCTCTAGAATTTTTTACAACGCTTTTATCAACTTGCAATGTTGTGTTCCAGAAACTTTCAATGTTGTGTTCCAGACACATTCAATGTTGTGTGTCCGACACCATAAAGCAAAGCTTTGAAAAGCTCCTATAAAAAAGCATAGTGAATAGGGTGAGGTAGATGACATCTAGATGTCGCCCTATGTACTACGTTTGCTACACCGGAAATAGACGACACGCCATTTCTTTAAATAAAATTAATTGGTGCTCGTTTGTATGTACATACATATGTAAATGCATGTGTGTGCACCTTTCTATTAATATCGTTGAATTATTTTAATATCTATTGCAAAATTTTATTCAGACAGGACTAAAAAGTAGAAAATAAATAATATAAAAAAAACTTTTTAATATACAACGCTTTTATAAATGGACTAAAAAGTAGAAAATAATATTTCTCAGTCCCATAGAATTTGTTTTGATAACTTTTGATTTTGAAATTTTAGCAAAAGTCATTATAAACAATCTATGAAATTGAAAATGAAAAGCGTGGGGCGCATGTATTACACTTGAATTGATATGAAAAGTAATATATGAATGTATGTATGTGGGTATATGAATAACGACCGCTTAAAATCGATTTCAAAGTTCTACTTTCGCTGTAGAAATTTTAGGTCTACGTTATGTAGTTTGACTATTGTCAATTAAATCGAATGCTTTGTATTGCATGCGCCCCACGTTTTTCATTTTCAATTTCATAGATTGTTTATAATGACTTTTGCTAAAATTTCAAAATCAAAAGTTATCAAAACAAATTCTATGGGACTGAGAAATATTATTTTCTACTTTTTAGTCCATTTATAAAAGCGTTGTATATTAAAAAGTTTTTTTTTATATTATTTATTTTTGTAAATCAAATCGGCAAGTGCATATCGTTCCCCGCATGCTAGAAACATGAATGTGCGAAAATTAAAATTTTGGGAAATCAAGTTTGATGTTTGTTAGGAGGCTTAACTTAGCATTCAAGTAATTGACTTTGTGAAATATGTGGTTTCCGTGTACGCATGGTATTCTGGGTTTTGGTATAAGATAGGACATTCAAAAGTTAATCAAGTCGACCCAGTAACTTAAAATTGGTAAATTTGCACATTCATGCTTCTAGCATAAGGGTGACGATATATTTATGTACATACTTCAGATTTATTAATTTTTTCACGCCTGTCCTACATATTTTTGTAGTAAGAAAATAGCCATCATATTTCCTGTCAATATTCTTATATTTGTATGAAAACAAATCAATAAAATTAAAGTTCGGTACTCCACTCTACTTACTAAACTAAATTTATGTTTTGCTATTAGTTAAGATTGTCTTTTAAAATGCATCCATTTAGTTACACATATGTATTTATCAATAAGGATTAATCAATCAACTACATTAAACTTTTGAGGAATTTTTTTGTATGTTAGCCCAACCCCCTCCCGCCCGTATCTTACCTACTACGGTTTAATAAACCAATTGCATTCTGTTTTTAAATTTTGATGATAATTGATGTAATCTTAGCGTACATTTGGTTTAAATTATAATTAATGCAATGGTCTGTTAGAATAAATTATCCCTGTAGACTAAAAAAATAAATAAATAAATAAATACATTTTTATTTGTTAACACAGTCAGACATGAAAATTTTCTCCGAGATAAGTCTAGTAGTTTCTAACAGATTCTGGGTCGCTAAATTTGTAAAAATATAAACTTCTACATATATTTAAATTTTAAGAAAATAGCAAAATCTGCCAAAAACCGCCCACTTTTTTTTTTTGTAAACAGTTAAAACATCGGCTGCCGGCTAGATCGAATTTTCTTCGACTGTTTGTTGGCAACACTGCATCTAAGCCGCTCACCGTCTGGGGCAAATGACAGCGAATATATCCCACACGATCTTCAAAGGTGACACAACTCAAAATTACACTTTCGTCAGAAAATGCGAACAACTATTTCTTAGCACATGCTATCATCATATGAGCAAGGATGACTTTACCTTAGGATTTTTCAACAAGTTATAAAACAACTTGCTCCAGCTTTTGCTGAAAGGTAAATAAAAGCTCTGTGTATATTTTTAGTGCATAATTTCAAAAATGCCAAGTTTTGAGTTGTGTCACTTTTGAAGATCGTATGTATTTATATTGGCGAGCATGCTCGTACGCATGTTTGTCATGTGTGGCTAGCTCTAGATTGAGATTTGCTCAAGATTATTTTTTTTTTATCTCGAAATTTCTGCTGGTGATATTTTTACATGCTTTGAATAAAAACAAAAAGATAAAATATCATAAAACTTAGTTAAACAGTAACTACTTTGCGGGGTTTTAGAAGCTTGGCGGCATCCGCTACACTACGCTATCTAAAATGCAATGCTTTATTTTCGTGTCCTTCACCGTCTTCTGGGTGCTTCTGCTTATTCTTTGTTGACGATGTCAAAGAATTGGCCGCTTATCATTTCCAGCGGCTACCCGCGGTTAATAAAGAAAAAAGTAAGCATCACAAATCAATTGATTGTTTGATTATCTTATTCATTTTTGTACATAGTATGTACATGTTCATGTTCGCATGAATATGTGCTTGTGTCTTTTAAATATTGAAGCAAAAATAAAGAGCATTCCTATGGGTACATCATATGCATGTATGTATGTATGTCGCTACTTTACCTACGTATTTTTGTAAACATATGTATATACATTCATACATACATACATACATATGTACATATGAGTTGCCGATATATATGTATACATATGTATGTATTTTTAAATTGCCGATTTATTTACATATGTACATACATAACTACATTTGCACATATTTGGTATGCATTGCTTCTTTACACATTTTAAATATCAACGCTTTAGTACAAATTTGATGTTTAACTGGTACGGAATGGGCGAAGCTGATCAGCAGCCAACTATCATGTCTTCCTTTAATTTTATACGCGGTATGCTTTTGTTGTTCAACTCATTGCTATGGGTGAGTAAGTGGGTGGTTAAGGATCACTTCATATTTAAATATTGCAATTTCAGTTCATTGGACTTTTAATTATCTTAACCGGCATTTGGATGCAAACCGATTTTCAAAATTATATAAAAATCAGCGATGGTTACTCGATTTATGTGCCCTACATCTTACTTGCCGTGGGTGGCATTCTGGTGTTCGTTGCTTCGCTGGCCTGCTCTTGTATTGTAAAAGTCGATCCTACGATGTTAGTCATTGTAAGTTGAATATTTTGGTGTAGACAAATGGTTTTTTTTCTGCTCATATATAATATGAAATTATCGCCTCCACAGTATGGCGGTTTCTTGATTGCCGCGATGTTTACCTTAATACTACTTTCCATATACGTTTACGCTTACAAGGATAATGTGATCGCCGGCCTATCGGATGGCATTGGATCGGAAGTTAAAAACTACAAATCTTACATTAATGATCATTCACAAAGAAATAACGGATCATTGATCGATTACATTCAAAATAACGTAAGTACGCAAGTTGATTAACCTCTCTTAATAGGGGACTTTTTAAATTTTCCGTCCTATAGTTAGCATATAGTTTGAAAACAGTTTCATATGCTAACCGTTTAAATTAAGTAAAGTTGGCTGACAGATAAGATCTCAAATAGAGCAATTGTTTACTCCATAAGTTACTCATCATACCCGTGCTGGTGTATGGCGCGGAGGCATGGACAATGAAAACATCTGATAAGAGGGCTCTTGGAGTTTTCGAGAGAAAGATTTTGCGAAAGTTTTACGGACGTATGCGCGTTGGCAATGGCGAATACCGCATACGATTTAACGATAAGCTGTATGAGCTTTACAACGACTATGCTGGCTTGGTCATGTGAAAAGTAAAGTGCAGAGCCAAGTTAGCTAAGTCGCGATTTATTGAGAACCATACCCCAACTCGCTCGTTCCCATGCCCAGTGGTGTGCTTTTTCATACCCGTGCGCATTTGTGCATAAGGATATGTTAACTCTGTCCGTACAACGGTTCTTTGTAACAGCCAAAGTGCACAGAATGAAAAGAGAAACCGTTTAAGCCATGCTTGTCTGTCCGTCCGCCTGTGCACACGATGACTGGAGTAAAAATTGAGATACCTTAACGAAACTTGGTATGTGAATTTCTTTTGAGCTAAGAATGGATGGTATTAAAAATGGACAATAACCACGCCTACCTTCCATGTAATGGTAGTTTGCAGAAATACACAAACTTATTGTATATGGGTGTTTCCATGATGTGGGACATGATATTCGTACGACTTTAGAGTTAAATAAATTGTACTAAAACGAAAGTTCCGTATTAAACAAATTACCGTTGTGTAGCTTTTATACCGTCCGTCCTGGTGTCGGGAAAATCGATGAAAAGGAGGTCATAACGGGCGTGACAAAAGCAGAAGTGGTTTCAGAGTATATGTAAAAATAAGCAAAACTCTGCGAATTCTGTGAAATTTGTCTTTCTTTGTCTGAAATGCTGCTCATTGCGGGACCATTTCAATAGTATTTCGTATGTTTTAATTTTAAGCCGCACAGCCGCTTTGCCGCTGGTCTAAATCTGCCACAAATTTCAGAAATACGAATATTTAAAGACGTCAATTTATTCAAAGTTGAAATGCTCGTCGTCCCATTGTCCACGGTACCCGCCGGCCTCAAAGCTTCCGTGGAATCTTTCTTTCGAACACTCTAAGGGTAGTTTAATCGGTCTCTTTGTGCTGTTAAAAATTTTCTAAATTTGTTTTTTTTTTATATTTTTTTAAGGCCAACTCTAGTAAACACTTATTCAAACTCAATATATATACATACATATGTATAATAAGAGAGATGAGATTTTTGAGACTCTCATTTCTTTTTGCAAGCTTTTTTCTTTTGACGTAGAATACGTCTAACGTTTCGATATGAAGGCTATGCTCAAATGTTGTAGTTGTAATTTTTAGAGCTTTACGAAAACGCTTATTGCACGCGAACTAATGAAGCGAAAAGTGTGGCGTTTCAAAGATAAAATTCCACGCCTTGCGGCAGATTCGTTTTTATAAGTAACCAATTCGGTATCAGTCGTAGGAACAATTGGCTTATTTTGGGGTAAATTTTGAGCCTTTAAAGTGCTCTAGCAACTTATGATTGGCAGATAAAACTTTCATTTTCTTTGGAGTAAAAGAAACATTATCGTGTACAAATTTTATATAAATTCAACAAATGCCGAGCATTTAAAGGCAAAAAATGTTTGAAAAAATTTGAAAATTTTTTTTAATAACAAAATGCTTGAAAACCGCTCGAATAATTTTGTTTTTGTCTTCTTTAATCAATTCAGGTGTTTTCCTTTCGTTTGGTATATGTATGGAAAGTATTGGTTGATATCTTCTAAGTATTTTTATTTTATTCAAATATAAGGGCATAAATGATTTTCCATACAAAATCACTTCATCATCATTTTGCAAACACGTGTATGCGCTGCATGTGAGAGAAGGAGACAAAAAGTATGTATGGTTTTCACTATGTCAAATTCAGTGGCATTTGTTGTCAAATAAGTGAAGACACATTGTCAAATGGCANATGGTAATAGTTCCCAATCCTTGGTAACAGTTCCCAAATATTGTCAAAATTCGGGAACTAAATATCTTTAGTTGTCGAAACTAATCCTTTTTCTCAGTGTAAAGATGAAGATAGAGGAAGAAAGATTAAAATAATGATAATAATAGAGAAAAGGATATGGACAGAGAGTCACTCTGGGGNAATTTGAAAATTTTTTTTAATAACAAAATGCTTGAAAACCGCTCGAATAATTTTGTTTTTGTCTTCTTTAATCAATTCAGGTGTTTTCCTTTCGTTTGGTATATGTATGGAAAGTATTGGTTGATATCTTCTAAGTATTTTTATTTTATTCAAATATAAGGGCATAAATGATTTTCCATACAAAATCACTTCATCATCATTTTGCAAACACGTGTATGCGCTGCATGTGAGAGAAGGAGACAAAAAGTATGTATGGTTTTCACTATGTCAAATTCAGTGGCATTTGTTGTCAAATAAGTGAAGACACATTGTCAAATGGCATCAGAAAGCGGTTTGTCGATTGATTTGGAACAGTATAGGTCTTTAGTCGTGTATATGCGCTGCGAAATCGGCTGNTTATGAACCATACGTTAAGTTGAATGGAATTTGTAGAAATATGCTTCAAAGAAATATGTATTAGTATTAACCAAACCCTTCAACTAAATTAACGATTTGTTACAACCTAGATGAATATTAGAAGCTTTAATATATTTAGTTATAATAGCCAATCGATGGTAATAGTTCCCAATCCTTGGTAACAGTTCCCAAATATTGTCAAAATTCGGGAACTAAATATCTTTAGTTGTCGAAACTAATCCTTTTTCTCAGTGTAAAGATGAAGATAGAGGAAGAAAGATTAAAATAATGATAATAATAGAGAAAAGGATATGGACAGAGAGTCACTCTGGGGACTATTTTGGGATTTTAGAGATTTTCGGAATTCTCGGGACTTATCGATATAATAATCGATATTTTATCGGTTTTGTTATCGATATTTTTTTTTAACGATTTTGTTATCGATAATGACATTGATTTTGCTACCGATATTTTCAGTACTTATCGATATAATAAACGATACTTTTTATCGATTTTGTTATCGATATTTTAAAATTTTGAAATCGGTTTTTTTTATAGATTTTGCAATCGATTTTGTTATCGATATTTTTATCGATTTTGTTATCGATTTTGTTTTTGATTTTGCTATCGATATTATTATCGCTTTTGTTATCGATATTTTTTTCTTAGTATGTGCTTTATTTTTTACTTGAATGTGCNATGCGCTGCGAAATCGGCTGTATGCCAGTTTTTGGCCCATAATATCATCGGTAAAGGTATGGATAAAGGAGATAAAGTTGTGTCAAAATATGTGGCAAAATTTTGGCGTCAAAATATGACATAGTGAAAACCAGTCCTTAGACGCAATATTTATAAAAGGCAAAGGTGAAGGGGAATATGTGGATGAAGAATATGATAAACATGAAAGTAAAAACAAAGATAAATATAAAGAAAAATATGAGGGTGAGGATACAGATAAAAGTAAAGATGAAGATAGAGGAAGAAAGATTAAAATAATGATAATAATAGAGAAAAGGATATGGACAGAGAGTCACTCTGGGGACTATTTTGGGATTTTAGAGATTTTCGGAATTCTCGGGACTTATCGATATAATAATCGATATTTTATCGGTTTTGTTATCGATATTTTTTTTTAACGATTTTGTTATCGATAATGACATTGATTTTGCTACCGATATTTTCAGTACTTATCGATATAATAAACGATACTTTTTATCGATTTTGTTATCGATATTTTAAAATTTTGAAATCGGTTTTTTTTATAGATTTTGCAATCGATTTTGTTATCGATATTTTTATCGATTTTGTTATCGATTTTGTTTTTGATTTTGCTATCGATATTATTATCGCTTTTGTTATCGATATTTTTTTCTTAGTATGTGCTTTATTTTTTACTTGAATGTGCTCTTAACCATACCACGTATTCTACGTTTAAATTTAGCGGCTGTGTGTCCGATACAGCCTGCAGATCAAGACGAAGGAGCCGGACTGTTCCTTTGTTTTGGTCCGTGAAATATTGGTAAAAATGTATACTCTGCTGATAAGAGGGATATTATTATCCGTTGTAAACTTGACCTCAGATGTTGAGCAGATGTTTCTTACAAGAACCATTTTAATTTGTATCAAAGAACTTTGTTGAGATTTATTGTTTGAATGTAAATTACCATTAAAGTTTTTCAGATTATCCTAGACGGAAATTACATTATGNAAGGTATGGATAAAGGAGATAAAGTTGTGTCAAAATATGTGGCAAAATTTTGGCGTCAAAATATGACATAGTGAAAACCAGTCCTTAGACGCAATATTTATAAAAGGCAAAGGTGAAGGGGAATATGTGGATGAAGAATATGATAAACATGAAAGTAAAAACAAAGATAAATATAAAGAAAAATATGAGGGTGAGGATACAGATAAAAGTAAAGATGAAGATAGAGGAAGAAAGATTAAAATAATGATAATAATAGAGAAAAGGATATGGACAGAGAGTCACTCTGGGGACTATTTTGGGATTTTAGAGATTTTCGGAATTCTCGGGACTTATCGATATAATAATCGATATTTTATCGGTTTTGTTATCGATATTTTTTTTTAACGATTTTGTTATCGATAATGACATTGATTTTGCTACCGATATTTTCAGTACTTATCGATATAATAAACGATACTTTTTATCGATTTTGTTATCGATATTTTAAAATTTTGAAATCGGTTTTTTTTATAGATTTTGCAATCGATTTTGTTATCGATATTTTTATCGATTTTGTTATCGATTTTGTTTTTGATTTTGCTATCGATATTATTATCGCTTTTGTTATCGATATTTTTTTCTTAGTATGTGCTTTATTTTTTACTTGAATGTGCTCTTAACCATACCACGTATTCTACGTTTAAATTTAGCGGCTGTGTGTCCGATACAGCCTGCAGATCAAGACGAAGGAGCCGGACTGTTCCTTTGTTTTGGTCCGTGAAATATTGGTAAAAATGTATACTCTGCTGATAAGAGGGATATTATTATCCGTTGTAAACTTGACCTCAGATGTTGAGCAGATGTTTCTTACAAGAACCATTTTAATTTGTATCAAAGAACTTTGTTGAGATTTATTGTTTGAATGTAAATTACCATTAAAGTTTTTCAGATTATCCTAGACGGAAATTACATTATGAGGCATTTCATGTAACCGCGGCCACCTCTGTGCGCGACCTCTCAGGATTGGGATGAAAGTTGAAGAGATTGATAAGCAGATTTCACATGTGAACTTGCAACAAAGTTAAATTTTGCCATTTCCTTGAAGGGCTTTTCATGATTTCAGACCTTTAGTAAATTCAATATAATTTATTAATATTGCTTTTGTTTTTTACACACCTTTCCTCTTTCAAAGAATTACAATTTCAAAAAATTGCAATGTCCATTTATCATATTGCTCGAGCGTTAGACGATCTAGTCCATTCGCCTAAGTAGCCCATTACGCCCATTTAGTTATTTAAAGTTGACATTAAAGACAATGTTTTTATGTAAAAACACAAATTGCTATAATCAAAAAATAAAATCTAAAAGAAAAATGTTTAGTAATTTTTTTTTTATACGTTGCACATTAATGTCAAAAATGTACAATTAAAGCGAAAAAATACATTTTTTTTCATTAAGTTTCGTTGAAAGGTTTCCAAGATACAGCACTTTAAAGAAAGGTATGTATGGCGTTTTCTTAAAATTTAAGTTCCGTGTAAATATGCTGCGTCATATCAGCAAAATATGCTGCACGTATATTCATGTCACCTAGACCTTCAATCTCTTCAACTTTGACATGAAATGCCTCTTATATTCCAGTAAACTCTTGTACAGTTTCGAAAATGAAATTTTAATTCAGTTTATTCAGAATATATCTATTTAATTTGGCAAATAACCTTTTCAAGGAATACAATCTGGTTCTTGGTTGGGTTTCAGTTTAACTCTAGCACCCACGACTCAATGTCCCCTTCATTGAGTATAGACTAGAGAGAGCTTTTAATCTATGCGCGTCCATATAAAATCCACAGTGAGCTTTGAAGAGTTCCGGCCGCGGGCGCTGGTTTGAGCATCACTGGTTTAGACAAGTTCCTGCCTAGTTTATGCTGATTCCGATTCCGTAGCATTATATGCCCTTCTACCTTTGATTAGTTAAATATGGCAGTGTTGTGTCATCTGGTCCTTAATCCTAGAATGGTAAACATATTTTTGTAGCCCTTTAATGGTACACATCTCCTAGAGGCTACCTTTCTAAAAAACAAACATTTCACCTTTATAAAAGAAAAATATTCAAACAAAAGCAAAAACCGTAGTTATTTTATCCTCTGTGACAAAAAAATTAATAAAAAACTTCCATTTTTTCGTAGCTGAAATATGTTACAGTCATATTAGTAGATCACATTTTTAATGGGGGGTATACAGAGATCGTTTGAAAAAAATAAATAAAAATACTTCTGTTCGAGATATTTTTGTGAAATTTGTTTTGCTTATAAATTTGAGATCAAATCATAATATTAAAAAATATAAAGTTTATGGCTAAAACAAAAGTTTGTTATTTAAAAATACATTTGAAAAAAAATACAATTATTGGTAAATATTAGCCCTGTTCGCATACGCACTATCCAGTAAAATTCAGTACTAATTTTACTGGTTTTTACTGGATAAATTTTTACTAGCAACTATTTGCTAGTAAGAAAAATATTACCAAAAGAATTTTAAGCCAAGGTCAATTATAAGCTGGGAAGTGATGTTCAAATCTTCCACCGTATATCTATTATCAAGAAAAACTGTACTGGAGAGTAAGGATGTTTCGAATGTGATATATTTCACATTCGTGAATGCGAATGCGAGTGCGAATTTTCAGAATGCGAATGTGTGTTTTTATTACTTAAAAATTTTGTAAATTACACTGGTTACAGCAAAAATGTTCTATAGATGCTAGTATTCAATCCCTATGTATAATTGCTCAGTGGTTCCAAAAATCGAGACACATTTTTTTCTATGGATAACGTTTAGAGATATTTGTAACTTACCGTTATTCAGTTTAAAAAAAAGTGGTTTCACTTAACCACGTATATCTTACGAACCAATTGAGTAAACGTAGCACGAAATATGGGAAATAAAAGCAAATACAATTCCGTATATACATCACTTTTCAATAGCCCTTATAGTTTCTGAGAACATATGATATCTCAATAAAAGTAATTTTGCTGCCTTTTCTCCCATTAGGCAATTTCTTAGAGGCTCGTATATACGGCCGACTGCGCTGAACAATTGCTCACTTGGAGCGCTCGCGGGTGGAACGCTCAAATATTTGCGGCCCAAATCTGTCAATTTATCGTATTTTAGTTTAGTTTTCCACAAATCGAGAGGATTTTCACCTCGATGAGCTCGTTTTCCTTTAAGATATGCCTTCAATTGGGCTTTAATTTCACATTTTTTAATGTCTCCAGATTCTACATCCCAGCCACCGCTTTCCCTGGAGGAATCTAAAATTATTTCTTGGTTGCCTATAAGACTTTTAGCAGTACTTATTGAAGGCCCATCAATGTTGCTTGATATACTACTTAACCGTTTAGCCCCTGAAGCTAAATCTGGTTATTGTCCGCACCCTGGTTAGACAGACCTAGAGCCATTTCAACAATATTAGAGTGGACTCTCTGCCCATGTTCACATTCTCATTCGCAAAACATTCGTATCATTTGTTGCGAGTGCGAATGTGTAAAATGATGCGAACCATTCGCATAACGAATGCGAATGCCAATATTCGCAACATCCTTGCTGGAGAGTATATATATTTTGGGTTAAGTATTTAACGCCACGGCGAAGGTAGCGAATGCTTGGACAAAAAAGGAGCGGATGCGTTAAAGATAAAGAGATAGAGATGAAGATAAAAAAAGTAAGAGTGCCTGAGCAACACTGGAGAAGTGAAACTTACGTTACCTTATACTCTATCGATAAAAAAATCGGTAGTAACATCCAAAAAAATATCGTTAACAAAACCGATTAAAATTCGATACCAAAATTAATGACAAATTCGGTAAACATGTCGATAGCAAAATGGATAATACTGTTGGTAGCAAAATCGATTAGAAAATCGATGAAAATATCGATAACGAAGTAGATAAATAATTTATTAAAAAAATTCATAACAAAAATCGATTCGAAAATCGATAAAAATATTGATAATAAAATCGATAAATAATCAAAAACAAAATCGATGAATATTTGATAACAAAATCGATAACAAAGTCGATAATAATCGATTACAAAATTTATAACAAAACCAATAACAAAATCGTTTAAAACATCGACTAAAAATCGATAACAAAATTATATCGACAAGTTCCGAAAATATCGATAGCAAAATCGATAACAATATTAATATAAATAATATAATAATATCTATAACAAAATCGATAAAAATACTGATAAAAAACCGACAAAAATATCGATTATTATATCGATAAGTTCCCATATTGAGTCTCTCCGATTTCAAAACCACGAACACCGTTGGAAAGGAACTTTTCCGTAGATGAGCAGAGTTCTTATGGTTTCACAATTGGTTGAAAATTACGGCCAAAACCGTCGTTTAAACATTTCCGTATTTGCGTATAGATGTTGCTGCAACATGTTCAATTTGACATGTTTCGCATGTTGTTTCACTTCGCATTTGAAATTAAGCTTTGAAATAAAGAGAAATATGAAGATGCCGAAATAAATGATAACGATGAAGACAAGAAAGAGAAGGCAAAAGTGAAGACAAAGACGAAAATGGAGACAGTGAGAAATACATAAAAGCTCAAACAGTCAACGACGTAACGTAGACGTAGGTTGACGCAGACACGATCTGATCTACCTTATGGGATTCGCGCGTTAACGAAAACTCACCACCGCATGGCGGTGACGTTGCCGTTGCTTCCCTCTCTGTCTATCAAAAGTAAAGTTGATATGCTGCTACGTACGTCAACCTAAGTTTACGCTACGTCGTTGACTAACTGCGCTTTAAGAGTTAGGGTAACTGAAAGGGTAAGAACATTTCTTGAATTCATGAAGTGAAACTTCTTTAGCGGCAGTTGGTTGGTTGGGAGTAAATTGTCAAATTCAAGGGGAATAATGCACATGCAAATGGTTCTCTAGAGACAACATGCACTTTGTTTTTTTTTTTAAGACAACCCGGTTTCGACTTTGAGCTTCTTAACTCCACGCGGGGTACGTAAATTAATCACGGCGAGAACGTTGTCGCGTACACATGTGTCGCTATTCTCTTTAGTGCTGACCCCATGCGACCTCTAACGTAACATTTTTTGGCGGACTTAAATCTTTAATTTTTTCTTGGTAATCCCAGCTAGTTTTGACTTACATTTTCCATTATCTTAGCTCCAATGTTGCGGTGGAAAGAATCATCTTGACTGGCCGAAAAATTCGCTGCCCAACTCATGCTGCTGGAATAATGGCGTAACAGGAAATTGTACAGAACATCCAATTGGACTTATGCACGAAGTGGTGAGTTGACGAAGCTAGCGCATATGTAAAACTTTTAGCAGGATTTGACCATCCAAATAATATATAACAACATGGGGCAATATTTGTATATCCATTTCAGGGATGCTTACCAAAACTAATACGACTAATCAACACAAATCTCACTAGTATTGGTGTTATGCTGTCGGTACTGGCTTTATTTCCGTTATTTGCAATGGTATTTGCCTACTCCCTGGCAGCCGCAAGTAGAAGAATCGGTTATCAGAGTATAGACTGAACGCTGCCAATGATTGCGTTTTGTAAAATATTCACCTTTGATACATATTTTTGATGTATTTTTAATATCAAATCAAATTGCATACATACAAACATATTAAACTATGAGTTTAAGTATGGTATTTAATAATAAATAAATAACTACAAACAAGCGTAATGCGAAATGAAATGACATCCATGTAAGTATAAATATGTATGCTTATGTACCCGTATGGGTACGTATGTATAAAATTTAAAATTTCTATATATGTACATACATAGATTTTCGTGACCAGAAGCTATTTATTAAGCGTCAACAGCTCGGACGTAGGGTATACACATTTTGACGTACATGCATACATACATACATATAAGTGTGGGAGGAGAACAAATATGTGTACAGATAAGTACTTAAACTAATTCTTGGCCGCATTGCAAAGCAATGACAGATTTCCTTCGATGGCATTTAGACGCGTCATTGATAGGCTATGTGGCGCATAAGTGGACTGTGTAGCGCAGGTGACGGGAGGTAGCGTTTTTAGGCTCTCACTAGAACGAAAACCTGTCAAAAAGAAAGCAAAAATATTATACAATAACATCAATACTGATCGCATTTCAGCTTACCCAGCTTTGCAAGTATTGTATGCCAAATGCGCTTCTTGAAGACAAATATGAAGAATACAAAGACGCCCAACAGCACATTGAATGAGTCGCTAATAACCCAAAAGAACATTTTCTTGCGATCGTATAGCACGATACTCAACAGTTCTAAGAACCAAGTAATGCCCATCACAATGAATAGTTTGGTATTCATAGCGAAGCGAGCCTTATCGACAAAGAAACGACGTCGCAGCATCGGTTTCTCGGCATTAGAACTTTGCATTCGGAAAATTTCACGTTTCACTCGATTGCAGTAGCGTAGCGTCAGCAGAAAGAGCACAAAGTTGATAAGTGAGAGCACACCAATAGGTCCCGAAAAGAAAAGTAAATTCGCCGAAGCAAGTGTGCCATCTGCAGAGGAAGATAACAATGGATCAAGTGAGTGGTTCAAATAGAGTGGCTAAATAAGCTACGCTAATACTCACATGTAAACCAGCATCGGCCTTGCTTGAAATTCGGACGCAAATTCTCGCTCAAAAAATGAGATTTGGCCAGTGATACTGTAATCACAGTCATTAGCGTAGGTAAACCATAACCATAGAGCGCGTATAGAAGAAACCGACCCGTTTCCTTGTTTTTCTGAAATCCGCGCTTGTTTTTTGCTGTCCTGAAAATAAAAAGAAAAGTGTTTTACTATTAAAAAGCGTTTTTGTTGAACAAATGTTTCAATGAATTGAAATTAGTCATAATCCTAATAATTACCATCCCCCACATGATCCACGAAATAAAGGCGTTAGATTCGTCAGTTCTGGTAGTATGTATTCAAAGCAGTATACCCTGGAATTGTTCCTCTGCGAATAAGTGACCAAATAGAGAAGCACTTGGCATTTTTAATGGGCATCAGCTTGTGCGGATGGAAAAGGACTAATGTTTTTTTATTGCACGCAGCCAAAATTGCTTAGGATTGGATGGACTGGGCTTATGAGTAATGCAATGCAAGTAAATTGCGGGAAGTCAATGACATTAAGCTAAAATTCATTGGTCTAACGAACGAAACAACAACCCTCCAACCCTGGCTTCTTGGGCCTTATTTGCACTTCTGTGTGATCACACAACGAAAGGATGTTAATAATAAAGGTGATACGTTTCCCGGTATCGGTAAGGAAGAAAAGCTGACAGCTAATAATAGACAACACGAATTCTTTTGCGCCAGATCTAATATCAGAATCCTGTGATTTTTTCCTGAATGAATCCACTGAAGAAAGGTGAAGGAAAAGAAAAACTGTAACTCAGCCCACTACTTCCTACGATTATACATCCTCAACGAATAATGGCTGTGGACGCAAGAGTGCACAGTGCAGCTGTGCAGTAGAAACACTATTTCAGCCTCTGATATGGCAATGTTCAATTCCGATCTTGAATCAGTTAATAGAGCCTCACCACGGTATCCTTGCCTACTACAAAGGATACAAGAGCTGAAAAAGTGTTTCTGCTGCGCCTTTGAAATGACTGGAGTTTTTCTTAGAGGAAACTTCCTCTGCATTGGGACCTGATTAAGACCTAAGATCTATGTAAAGGGGTCTGAGGGTTAAATGACGTCTTTATGAAGCTATTAAACGCCTTCCGCTCATTGCCATAATAGAGGATGCAGATGAGGTTTTAGGGATGAAATATGCTGAAACTAAAAACTATAGCTTGGATATTTTGTCCGCATAAATGACGGTGCTCACATCCCATCCCATCCTTCGACGCGGAGAGCGCGATTCAGTTTTGGTTTACTTCTGCGCGAGAACAAAGTGGAATGTCAAGAACGTTCCAACAAAAGAACCAAACGGGAACAAAATACGAACAAAACTCTCAGGAACTTTCTCAAGGAGAACAGAATGAAAACGAAACTTTTGGGAACATTTCCAATGAGAACGAAAATATCGAGAACATTTTCAAAGAGGATCGAATAAAAACAAATATTTGCGGAACGTTCTGCTAGAGAACAAAAGATTTGAGAACTTTAAGTTAAGAAAGAGAGGGTCGTCTGCCAGAGGAAATCTGGATCATTTCAACTTCCAGAACGTTTATCATTAGGGCGAATTGTCCACTTATGGAACGACTTTTCATTTCCCGTGCAAGAAAAGTTCATGTCTTAAGTCTCTTGTTGACTTAATTTGCAAAATTGTGTTTCAGTTCTTTTTTGATTAATTTTAATATTCAAACATTTCAAACTAATGAACGCTATGTCAAAAATTTTGTTCTCGCTTTCATTCTTTGCCAATAGTTCAGAGAAGATTTATTCCCGATCGGTTCTCTGTCAGAAAGTCCCTTAGAGTTGAGTTCCCAAATTGTTCTTCGCGAGAACGTTCCTTTGTTTTGTTTCATTTTTGTTCTTTGCCAAAACGTTTCGGAGACTTTTGTTCCCATTTTGTTTGTATTCGCAAAATTATTGTTCTCTTTGTGAATATTCCGCAGGGTTTTTTTCTTGTATAATTCTCCTTGAGAACGTTCTCGACAGTTTTCTTCTCATTTTGGTTTTGGTGTTGAAGCGTTCTTGGGAACAAAACTACGAGTACGATATTTAGTTTCGATTATACCTTTTGCTCTCTTTGATCAGGTGACACCTATATAACTGGTTTTGTGGATTTCTCGATGGAATTTGATTCGCCTTGCTCTCATATTAGGCTGACGTTGTCTTTATACAGAGACAAAATGGCGGAGTCTCCGCCCAACCACAAATCCCATACAAAATTTTTTGGGCCGTTTAATAGCATTTCCAGTACTGTGGTGATAGGTTCATATCCGTAAATCGTAGTCCTTGGTCTGTTTGCGTGGAACGTCAACGTTTGGGAGGCAGTTAGACGAGACTTTGTTCAGTATTTTCATTGGATAGCATTTTCAGGTGGTGGGTCCCAAACCTAACGCACAACCATTGTTCAGGTTGACCAGAGTTCGCGTACGAGAATGCAAGAGTCGGGATTGAGTTAAGGCGTGCAACTGTAAATGCATACCCAGAAGAACACTATACTCCGTTGCATACTCCATATCCTTTATAGTTGATCTCAAATGCATGAGTTATTTCTTATAAGTAGACGGCATTTCTGCCTATACACCTTCCATACCTGAGTGTTAAAACCATCCTAGTTGACGAAAAACATCAAGAATATGTCTTATACATAAATACATATGTAGGGTCTGCTCACTCTATGGTGAATAAATTTGCACACTTTTGTCTGCATAACTGCCATATAACTATTTATTGCCGCCAATCCCCAGGAAGGAAGCAGTTCATATCTAATGCTGCGATAATCGAAACGTTGGATTTACAACTAAGTGATACTTACCAATCGATTTCTTTTTTCACCGGGACTCAAATTTGAAAATAAATTTTTATTGGCAATTTTTATGCAAAATGAAATAAATAACAATTATTTTTAGTTTTTTTATTATAAATCCAAAACAACCATTATTTTTGATTTTTATATTATATGTCTTAGATAATAGTTATTGAAAACTTTTATTTATAAAAGTCATCAATAAAAATCAGTCAGTGACTTTTACTTTTAAAAGTCATCAATATAAATCAGTCACCGACTTTTATTTTTAAAATCATTCGTGTAAAAGTCATTAACATTTTTGCAGCTGAAAAGGTGTTGGGAAACAAAAGTTTACTACAACTTATTGAAATGACTTTTATAAGTATGATAAAAAAAATAAAACTCAGTGACTGATTTTTATTTATAACTTTTATAAATAAAATTACTTACATACATGTATACTATATATTGCATAACCAAAATGCACTTGCAAGAAAGTTTTAGCGAGAAACAGTTTGTATTCAAGCGCTTTGACTATAAATACTGGCAAATTGGTTTTTAGGTTTATTGCCCAGCCAATAAATTTCCTTCGAAATGGACTAAAAGGCGTTACTCTTCCTTCCGGCTTATGCTTTGGTTACTTAAACGGCGGATTGTAAAAATTTTATTACGTTAATACTATGTATGTATGTAGTATCAATGCACATACATTAGGGTGGTCCCAAAAATATAAGAAAATCTACTTTTTGGAATTTTCTTACTACCATCCCCCAGAAAAATAGATAGTAGAAAACAAAAAACCCGTATTTTTTATCTTAAGTCAGTGTAACCGTGCCACCGGGGATTTGACATTTCCATATATGTACTTTAGACGGTCCCAAAAAACCTAAGTTGTTTTTTTCGAACGCATACCCCTCATTTTATTGGTTTTGTCTTAAAATGTATCCAAATAAAATGTTATGCAATTCGGACCACGCCAACCCGTTCCGACTTGCAGTCAAAGTTATCAGAATAAACTTTGTGCAGCTTGCTTTTATTTCTATATAACGCGGTATTACTAAACTCCCTACTAGTCAGGACTTTTTCCAAAGTGCTATAAATTATAATATATTTCCAAAAGTTTACACAAAATATGGATATATGAGTATCAATTAAAAGAAAAATTCAAAGCAAGATGAACTATAACCTTTGTTTTCAATTAACCTTTTGGAGCATGTCAAAACTGTCCTTTAAAAATATTATCCTTCAAGATTTTTAACTTTGAATATTTTTATTCTTTAAAATCTTGGTTTAATTTAAATCCTATAAATATATATTGAAGGATAAAAATTGCAAAGGATATTTGCCTTTAATTCAAGTTATTAACTAGAACTTCAATTAAAAGTCGGCACGGGTTATCGTTATACTACGGCCATAAAACTTCTTATATATGCTATTTAGGATAAAAAGCCCAAATACGGAGGGTATGCATATCAAAATTTGCAAACAAATTTTTTCCATATATTCTTGGGACAGTCTAATGCACATATGTATTTTATATTGGGAAAACATACATATGTACTGGGTTGGTGCTTAAAATATTCACAATGTATCTTGGATAATTAAAAAATTTAGGGTTCGCTAACAGGGTTTAAAAAATTAAATTTGTTTAATTGGAAAAATTCGACACAATTGTCGATTTTTAACAGCTATAACTCAGCGAGTTCATGAATTTATATCAATAAGTTTCAATAATATGTCAAATATATTAGATTTCAAGTCAAAATTTTGCCAAATTTCTGCGATAAAAAAATTTCAAACCCTGTTAGCAACCTCTAAAATGTTGTAAAATTTTAAAATTTCGTGAATATCTTAGTTTTGGTATGCAGAACAAATATGAACAATACAAAAATTTGATGTTGATATTTTAAGGCCCACCCTAGTATATACATAAATAGCTATATGAATTAATTGATTTAATGAATAATTGCATAGTAAATATTGGATTTGATGTGCATGTATAAGCATCGTTACTCATAAATAAAACTTTATGTGTATGTAAGATTGTACATATGTACATACATACATATAAATGTGCCTATAAATACTTAACTGCAGGATATCTAATATACATACAAATGTGTACGTATACGTAACTATTTTACGTACTAAATGATCAATTAATTGTTCGCAAGTGGCTCGTTCACATAAAATTTGTATTGTTTGTAAATAGGGGAGATATTCATAAAAAATTATGCTTCGATAAGAGCACTGCCTCCTGCCAAAGCTTTTATGAACATACAAATGCATACGTGCGAGAAATACCAAAGTACACAAGCTTCGTAAATCTTCGAACCAACTTTTTAGGTGATTCCAGCTCAAC